TTCAAATTAAATACTGATTAGATTTACTCTTTGAGTAGTATCTGTTTCCAACAGCAAGTGCACTTCATTTGATGTTGATGTTTTGAGTTGTTCGACTATGAGTGATTCGCTACGCATCGAAGTATTTTCATGATGAAAATATTATTTTAGAATAAATTTTTACAAAACAAGCATTAATTCTTTTTTATAGTTTTATTTTCAATTTTCTCCAATTCTGATAAGTAAATTTTTTGAAAAGAAATATTCTCTTCTTTTCCTGTAAAACTGAATAAGTCTCATCTCTTAGTAACTCTAAAGGAAAGCCCCAGAAACGCAGGAAAAATTTGACTTTTGAAGAGTTTTGCAGAGTTTTGAGGACTTACTAAGTATTTTTTACTTAGTTAGGGATGTGAAGACTTTCAAAAAATCTTATTTAGAGTTATGAAGACTTTTCAAGAGTTTTTTCAGAAAATTATTTCCACAAGGGTGCTTTTCAATTGAAAAATGAAAATATTTTAAAGACCAAAATTTAAAAAAAATTATTTACTTGAACTAAGTTATTTTTTTTTGTGCGGTGTATTGGTGGAGTAAATAAAATAAATACAGTAAATCGCATGAATGAAAGCATGATGTTCGATACAATAGTGTTACTTTCACCATCTGTATTATCGCTTACGCAAAATTTTAATAAATAGTGGGTTATGTAATTGATCCTTTATTGTTTTTACTAGTCGAGGATAAAATATTATTTTAATTTAAAATATTCTTCCATTGAGTGGTTGGATGATTTATAGGAAGTCATTTGTGGTATGTAAGGACAATTATTATTTTAGGGAGTAATAAATTTAAAAAGCTTGTTATATTGATATTAAGTTTATATGGAAAACAAATTGGCCGCCTTGAGCAAAAATCAATTGGGCTCTTTGGCTCTTTATGGTTGTGATGAAAATATGGGGTGCATTTTTATTTGTTGTATAAGAAAGGTTAAGGAGTGATAATTAGGCGGTCAATAGTTGGTGAAAGATTTTTACTAATGATATTGACTGTCGTTATTAGTGGTTTGGGTGATAAATAGCGTTAAGACGGTTTAAAACAAAAATTTTATTTGAGAAATTTTGTAAAATTGTTTAAAAATGTATTAAAAAAAATTACGACTATTTTTTAAAATCATATTATCCGTAATGTAAAAAAGAATACATTTTTTCCTTCAAAAATCTGTCAGAAATTTTTTAATCTCTTAAAAATGTTTGCACGGTTCTACGTCGATTATTTATGCTCAATCCAAAACAATATCTCATTATTACATTTACCCATAACGTTCCACTATGCCCCAGGTTCTTCCACCCGAGAATTCTCAGCAATCACATTCCACAAGTAAGACTCCTAATCTCATAAATTTCTATTTATAATCATGAATGTAAACAATTATTCAATACCAAACCAATAAATACCGTTGATGTAATACATAACAAGTGTAAATGATCTTATCTCAAGCAATTTAATTTATAAAAAACCAATTGAATGAATACGTTTTCACAATTAGATATAATACATATACAACTGTATAAGAAAGGGAAAAAAATTATTAATTTCCGGTAATCCGATGATTTTTTTTTTCAACTATAATATATATAATATCATTATATTATAAATCGAAATATTTTTACACTTTGTATTACACTAATCCACATTAACTAAAGGTCAGTAATTTGATTTTATCAAGAATTTCTTAAAGTTACAATATCACAGTTTGTTTTCCCATAGTCTACCTCTATGGACTTATAAATATTTTAAACGTAAATTATTTAGATTTTTATTAATGCAATTAGTAATTGCAAATGCGGGAAAAAGATTGGCAGCACCTTAGTAAACAGCCGCTTGCTGTGTGTATACACCGCAGAATGAGTTTTGCCGTTGATGTCAGCTATTATATCCGCGAACTCTTGGTAATTTATTCAATTACCGATCGACTTTTCTGATAGCGGGTGATATACCCTCATGACTGCTTCGGACGAAAGTTATCCGATAGTTCACCACAACGATAATAATAATAACAATAAGACAACAAACGAGAGCGTAAGAGCAATTTGACACAATCTATTAAGTTTCTGCGTAAACCATTGTGATTTGCTAGGGTATACTTTAGCCTCAGATACACATTTATCGCAAATTACTTATAATTTACCTCTTTTTTACACACTTTGGATGATAGTAATTATAATTAATATTCACTTGATTGACTGATTATTTTCACAATCAAGTTATACGCTCATGGCATGCAATCCTAAATTAATCAAAGTTTCTGGGAGTCTCCGATAGATGGCGTAGAAGTGATAAATTTTTTCGATTTAGAAGACGTAGCCAAGATGTTTTCTAACCAAAGATACATGAAATTTATTTAAAAATTTTGTTCTTCAATTGTTCAATTACCTACGGCGTCTCGATTGGAATGTTTTTTCAATATTTGAAAATATTTAGAGGTTCAATGAATACTTTTTTGTTCCTTAGAACATTTTATGAAAAAAAAATTATTATTTGTCAGCGTCGAATTTTTTTTTTAGAAAAAATATGACTATGACTCAAATTTTATCAACTAACTGTAAGTAACTTTGTTAAAAAATGAACTGCTTTAATATTTAGCCTACTTCGTTTTCAAACATTTAAATTCAAACTATTTTTTGGAATTATCAAAAAAAATTTTCAAGTTAAATTTAAAACTGTCGATAAAGAATCAATACGTATTCATGAATGTATATCACAATTTTTATCAACCTCAAACTTATTTTCTAATGAATAATTTAGAATAAGACCACATTTTGTTCATATTTCTTGTGATTTAATTGAAATTACTGTATCAATTTTTAGTAATAGCTCCCGAGTCGAAATTTAGAGCCTATGTAGAACCCTCTAGTCCGAAATAGATCCGACTGAGAGCCCTATAGTCCCATAGCTCCGACTTTGAACCTAGAGACCCGAACATTCATCGCGAGGTCCGATTTTGAACCCTCAAGCCCGTCTACATTGCCCCTTCATAAATTTTTATTAACTACACTGATAGAAGGATTTGTTTATATTTAATAAGCTTTATTATTTGTTAATAAATTATTTTTTAACATCATACGATTTAATAAATATTTATTAACAGTTAATAAATTATTTATTCAATACGATTTATTAAGTGTTAATAAATATTTGTTAACAGGTAACAAATATTTATGAACAGTTAATAAGTAATTATTAAGTACAGTTTATTAACTGTTAATAAATATTTATTAATGGTTAATGAATATTTTTTGTTAACTGTTAATATTTATTAACAGTGCAGTTAATATTTATTTTAAATGAAATATAACCTTATAGCTGGAATACATAATAATAATTAAATTCACTAAATTAATTAACGTTTTTAATATTTTAAAATATAAAAAATAATTTGGTATTTTACAATAATTATTATTATAATGTAATATAATTGATGCAAATAATTTATAAAGATGATTTTTGTTTATAAGCAATCTTCATATCATATGACATTGCAAGCAAAATAAATTCACTTAACAAAATATTTAGTAACTGTTAATAAATATTTCTTAACTATTAATAATTATTTATAAACTATTAATTAATGTACTTTACTCCCAAATAAATATTTATTGAATGTTAAAAAATATATATTAAAATTTAATAAATTAAATAATTGTCTTCAAATTAATTAAATTGTTAATACTTAATTAATCCTTATATAATTGCAATTGCGATACTTTTTTACGTCCAAATAATTTATAGAGTTTTTATTAAAAAATAAAATTGAAAAAAAATTTTATTTTTTGGTACAAAATTCTCTTAAATCAAGTTTATTTTTTTCCAGTAAATTATAATGAAGAAATATTGATATTTTTTTATCAAAAAATTTATTAAAAAATTTTTTGAGTCAACAAATCTATTCAAATAATTATTTTTCTCCGTAAAGTTAAAAATAAAAAAAGTCTATTAAAAACAAAATACTATTTAAGTTTAAATTAATAACGTAAGTTTCCGTATTGTGCAAGATATATATTAAAAATGTATATTTATTTTGACACGTTGTTTTTTAACAGCTTTACGAGGAAAGACACGTGTGTTACTCCCAAATAAATATTTATTGAATGTTAAAAAATATATATTAAAATTTAATAAATTAAATAACTGTCTTCAAAAAAATTAAATTATTGATAGTTAATAAATCCTTCTATCAGTGTACAATTAAATTATTTTTTTCTTTCATAATATAAAAAGTAAAGTAAAATAATATGAATTAAATAAAAATTAATTAATAAAAAATTAACAATAGTTAAGATGTGCAGGTGGTTATTTAAATTGTGAATCTTTTTTATAAAGAATATTTTAGTATAGTTTATTTAGCTGATAAAAATAAAATTAGATTTATTAACAAAATTTTAATCACTTCGCTTACATATTGTAATTTATTCACGTTCTTTACTGTTTATAGGAACTGCTACAAAATGTTGATTATCAATTTTAATATAAAAGCACGGTGTAGTAAGTAATTCAACTGAGATAGCTCTAACATAATCAGTTTCAGTGCATTTTTGTTAGAATGATCTACTGTCATATAAGAAATGATCTCCATTAGCTACAAATACATCATTACCGATAGTTTCACGGATAATAGCAAAATGATGTTTAGGGCAATTACAGATATTTTGGAAACAAATACAATGTGTCCATTGTATAAAACAATAAATCAAACCAAATCGGAGTTGGTTATTTTCCAAATATTGCACCATTGAAGATGATGTCTTTAAATTGTCCTTGTACATTTCTGATACATATAATTTATTACATTTCATGAGTCTAAAATACTGCTTTATTAACATATTATTATTTAACAGTCCACTTTGTTGCAATGCATCGATAATAATTTGTGGTATGTCATCATTTTCTAGTTCTTCATAATTACCAACACTGTAACAGTGGTCGGATATTTGATCCAAAATTTTGGCTTGTATTTTTTTTTCCTGTCAAAAATGACGCACATTTTCATTTTGTGATAAATCAATAAGCCTTGTCATAGTTAGAAATTGAGTCTGAGATCGTGTTAGTTGAGTATCTATGTGCCATGTTCCATGAAATAGCTTTAATAATTGTCCATTCAAGTCCTCAGATTCATAACACGTATGAGCCCACAAGGGTCCCAAAGTTCTTACGGAGTCAGGTAAATGTATCAATAAATGTGTATTTATAGAGCAATACCTTAACCCATACAACTGTTCAAAATTCCGAACGAAACAATTTAAGAGATCACGAGCTACTTCGATCATAGCATCACTAATTACATCGCAACTTAAGATGAATAGTCCAATAATCAATTTTAACAAATGTTGAAAATAATCAGGACGCATAATGCCTTCAAATATTGGTATTGCGTAATAAAAGCAAAACATTTTTAATTCAGATGCTTTCCAATGTTTCAAATCATTAATGGAACGTGGCATACGGTGTACAAACTTAGGTGGCTTGATACCTATCAATCGGTTGTCTATTTGGTTCATGACTGCTCGTAATGAAAAGACTTTATCGCTGTACGAAGCATCAAACAACAGAGTCAGAATTTTTTTAATTACACCACCATCGCAGCAATGCATACGATCTATTGCAATTCTTCGAATAAAATCAGGCATAATTAACAATAGTGCAGAATTCCCTTTAACTCCCATTACAGACTGGTCTGGTGTTGTGAGATTTGCATGTTGTATTGTTTGCACCGAGGTTCTTAATTGTGTCTGAGGTTCATATGGATAAACGTGAACATGACCACCTGCATCTGTACACAATGTTTGGTCTTGTATTAAACAAGATGTACAACCAAAATCAGCATTATACAGGACAAAATTCAAACAATCACTTTTTGCAGGCTGATCGCAAACATCCATAAGTACTATACCTCTTACATTTATTTGGATGTTGTTAGGAAGATAAATTTCAACACCTTATTCAGCAACACGCTGTAACTCTTCTCGGAACTTGTATATAAAATTATTCATATATGGCTTCTTATCATCGAACCAATAACCTAAGAGCAATGTATTCTCTCTTTTCTTTCGTTCATTAAATGGTAGCTCATTAATTGTAAGATAAAATGGCCATATACTTATATGCGACGATTTGTAAACGGGTATACCATCGGTATACCAGCTGAAGGATATGTTGTTAGGGGTAAATAAGAAACCGTTGTTAAACCATTCTCTGTATAGTTCTCCATCATAAATGTCCGTAATGGTACCAGGAAGAGGAATTGGTCTTTGAAATCTAAATTGCAGTCTCTCATAGAAATCCTGTCTTTTGTACATTTCTTGTAATTGGCTGATTATTGGCAACTGTACGAAATATGAGTTTTTTTTTGACACACGATGGACATTCGTCATTTTCATTAACAAGTTCTCTAACACAAAACTTGCAGTAATAATGTTTAATGAGATTGGTTTCTTCAAGTTGAAAATATTTCTTAAACTTGAATAAACTATTTGTTTTCAGTCCGTTTGGCAAACAGTGCAATTCAATCGCTTTAATGATGTCTTCAATACAAGCCATAGATGAATTATGACTCAACAGGAGAGAGAGAATAGTTAACATGCTGTCTCCAACAGTTATTCTAGCACCATCGAAAAGAGGTTGATTTTGATTGATGTCATAATTATTTCTTCGATTTTGATTATCATTTCCACCTTCATCATCTTAATCAGTTAATCTTCATCATCCCTATCATTTTCATTATCAATATCATCTTCATCATCACTATCATCTCCATCATTGTTTATATCCGGTTGATAATCACTCTCATCGCTTGAAATTTTTTCAGTGACATTAAATTGATCTTCCAAGATTTCTATTCTCTCTTCTCTATGAAATATTGGGTCAGCATTTCTGTAAAATAAATAGTGATAAAATAAGAGTTGCATAAAATGTTTACTATAACAATTAAATTTAATTATTGAACTTTATCATGTAAAATGGCAGAAACATACAAATCTTTTATTAAAATTTTGCAATAAGTTATGTGTAAGACTTACTGATTATCCATATAGACAGCAGGAAATACAATTTCATTGTTCCAGCCTTGAAGACCATCGTTCAGCATCTCATTTTCATTTCTATAAAATACAAAGTATATTAGCACTGCGAAATTTGTATCTATGTGCCATGTTCCATGAAATAGCTTTAATAATTGTCCATTCAAGTCCTCAGATTCATAACACGTATGAGCCCACAAGGGTCCCAAAGTTCTTACGGAGTCAGGTAAATGTATCAATAAATGTGTATTTATAGAGCAATACCTTAACCCATACAACTGTTCAAAATTCCGAACGAAACAATTTAAGAGATCACGAGCTACTTCGATCATAGCATCACTAATTACATCGCAACTTAAGATGAATAGTCCAATAATCAATTTTAACAAATGTTGAAAATAATCAGGACGCATAATGCCTTCAAATATTGGTATTGCGTAATAAAAGCAAAACATTTTTAATTCAGATGCTTTCCAATGTTTCAAATCATTAATGGAACGTGGCATACGGTGTACAAACTTAGGTGGCTTGATACCTATCAATCGGTTGTCTATTTGGTTCATGACTGCTCGTAATGAAAAGACTTTATCGCTGTACGAAGCATCAAACAACAGAGTCAGAATTTTTTTAATTACACCACCATCGCAGCAATGCATACGATCTATTGCAATTCTTCGAATAAAATCAGGCATAATTAACAATAGTGCAGAATTCCCTTTAACTCCCATTACAGACTGGTCTGGTGTTGTGAGATTTGCATGTTGTATTGTTTGCACCGAGGTTCTTAATTGTGTCTGAGGTTCATATGGATAAACGTGAACATGACCACCTGCATCTGTACACAATGTTTGGTCTTGTATTAAACAAGATGTACAACCAAAATCAGCATTATACAGGACAAAATTCAAACAATCACTTTTTGCAGGCTGATCGCAAACATCCATAAGTACTATACCTCTTACATTTATTTGGATGTTGTTAGGAAGATAAATTTCAACACCTTATTCAGCAACACGCTGTAACTCTTCTCGGAACTTGTATATAAAATTATTCATATATGGCTTCTTATCATCGAACCAATAACCTAAGAGCAATGTATTCTCTCTTTTCTTTCGTTCATTAAATGGTAGCTCATTAATTGTAAGATAAAATGGCCATATACTTATATGCGACGATTTGTAAACGGGTATACCATCGGTATACCAGCTGAAGGATATGTTGTTAGGGGTAAATAAGAAACCGTTGTTAAACCATTCTCTGTATAGTTCTCCATCATAAATGTCCGTAATGGTACCAGGAAGAGGAATTGGTCTTTGAAATCTAAATTGCAGTCTCTCATAGAAATCCTGTCTTTTGTACATTTCTTGTAATTGGCTGATTATTGGCAACTGTACGAAATATGAGTTTTTTTTTGACACACGATGGACATTCGTCATTTTCATTAACAAGTTCTCTAACACAAAACTTGCAGTAATAATGTTTAATGAGATTGGTTTCTTCAAGTTGAAAATATTTCTTAAACTTGAATAAACTATTTGTTTTCAGTCCGTTTGGCAAACAGTGCAATTCAATCGCTTTAATGATGTCTTCAATACAAGCCATAGATGAATTATGACTCAACAGGAGAGAGAGAATAGTTAACATGCTGTCTCCAACAGTTATTCTAGCACCATCGAAAAGAGGTTGATTTTGATTGATGTCATAATTATTTCTTCGATTTTGATTATCATTTCCACCTTCATCATCTTAATCAGTTAATCTTCATCATCCCTATCATTTTCATTATCAATATCATCTTCATCATCACTATCATCTCCATCATTGTTTATATCCGGTTGATAATCACTCTCATCGCTTGAAATTTTTTCAGTGACATTAAATTGATCTTCCAAGATTTCTATTCTCTCTTCTCTATGAAATATTGGGTCAGCATTTCTGTAAAATAAATAGTGATAAAATAAGAGTTGCATAAAATGTTTACTATAACAATTAAATTTAATTATTGAACTTTATCATGTAAAATGGCAGAAACATACAAATCTTTTATTAAAATTTTGCAATAAGTTATGTGTAAGACTTACTGATTATCCATATAGACAGCAGGAAATACAATTTCATTGTTCCAGCCTTGAAGACCATCGTTCAGCATCTCATTTTCATTTCTATAAAATACAAAGTATATTAGCACTGCGAAATTTATAAATTCTGAAGAGGTTTGGTGGGTTTCAGCGGTTCAAAAAAAGGGTATTTTGACTATTTTTTTTTCTTAGTATACAATCATATATTTTATTTAAACAATTCAGCATATAAAAATATATAAAAATTCCACACAATACTGTTTAAATATGTATCAGATATCCTGAATTGTTTAAATAAAATGTATGATTGTTTATACTAGAAAAAAATATTAAAAATACCTTTTTTTAAACCTCTGAAACCTACCTAACCTCTTAAGAGTTGTGTAGATTTATTTAGGTCTTAGGTATTTTTAATATGAAATTGAAAACTCATAAAATATGTTAAACTTACCGAACTTCATCCGGAATTATTTGCTCAATATTTTCATTTAAGTCATTTAAATTTTCACGTAAACGGTTTAATCTATTTCGGAGTTGTCTACTGCCAATATCGTCAATTGATCTATACGCCATATCACTATTTTCAATATAAATTGTCTTTAAAACACAATAGTTCGATTTCATTCACTCTAGGAATTTATCTTCAACGAAAATGAACATAGATACTCAAAACTTTAATTTTATGAAACATAAACATCAATAATATCATAACCAGGAACCGAAGTTTCAAAGAATAAATATTGGTTTTTTATTTTGGATAAGCAATATTATATGCCAAATAAATGATATATTTATAAATTAAATAATTAAAACAAAATTGAATTTTGTCTGCTAAATTATGAACTTGTATTTTGTTTGTTATTAAATTGAGTGATATTTACGTCAACAGATTTATCGCATTACTTAAGAAAAACTTAGCTCCGTTTATAACAACGGTAGGCAACTTTAACTCTCGAAAATTCCTATTGGATAACATAAACGCGGGAAAGTTAAAAATAAAGATGGAGTCAATCGTTAGCGAATCAAATTCACTTACTTTACAAGTCGCTCACACTTAACGTTTCATTGACAACAGCCTTTAACTTCTCCTAACCTACGTAGCAACTCTGCAGGAAACAAGTCGTATTACGACCCGCCATTTTAAATTAAGTTGTTTGTTTTATGCTATCTTAGCGTTAAATTTATTAAAATAAAAAATTTATTTCGTGTTGACTGACAAGTGGTAGAGATGCCACCAAAGGGAAGAAAAAAATTCGCGTTGATCTGGTGGGTCAAGTGCCAAAAGATTGATGTGATAGATCTAAAAATGCAATTTTATAAAGCGCCTAGCGGAGCGGGCGAGTAACAGCTAGTACTCTATATATTAAATAATGTGAATCATAATTGTATTAATAAAACCTGTCCTGTTAATCTTCTGGGTTCCCGGTCTAGTGGTTGAAGCACACCCGGACCAAAATAGATTTAGTTCTTTTGTCCAATCCGGAAATAACAGAATAAACCATATCTTTGTCTCAAATAAATTAATTTAATTGTGTCAAATAAGTATTAGTTGGTGATATTTAAATAAGAGATTTCTTAAGAATAAACGAGTCATTGGATTCAAATAAATTGTTCTCTCAGTGCGAGTAATTTTTTATACATCTGAGAAGTCAAAAGCGATTGCAGCGCTGCATCTATGTATTTCTTTACATTTTGCTTGCACAGAAAAAAAAAGTCATCTTGACTCAAGAAAATCATTTTCTTCAAAATTTACTTCTTGTTTCAAGTTATTCTGCTATCTTAATTGAAAAAATTTATTCTTGAACTAATAATGTCATATACTTATCCCAAGTAAATCTTTCTCTTGGTTTGAGAAAGTAGCGCCAACGTTGGCGACGTGATTTTTTGGAACTAAACCGAGATTTTTTTAATAAAGAAAAAAATATACTTTGTTATCGAACGAGCAATTGAGAGTTTCATTTTTTAGTTAATAAATTGCAATGAAATTTAATTATTTAGTTGCAATTTTTTTATTATTAAAATTAACAGTACACTTTATTGTAAAGAAATTCTTAAGTTTGGAAACTTAAGTTCCATACGATAATTTTCTTTACTAAGTTTCTTAGACCTTACAATGAGTGAAAAAATGTCTTTTGAAGAAAAGTGAGCAATTTGTTGAAAATTTTAAACAATTTTATTTCTCAGCTGAAAAAATTTTTCTCACGTTAACTTTCTTGTTGGAAAGAAAAGTTTTTTTAATTTGGAAAAAAAAAACAATTTTAGATCGACAACTTGTGAATTTTTATTGCACACCTCATAAGCAAAGCGGATGAAGTAGTGCTCTATTCTTGCATTACAAAAATCAAGTGATTTTTTTAACTAAAATTGTCTTTATTTATTTTCTAATACACTTGTAGAATAATATTTACACATAAATGTCATGGAAAAACACAAGTTCTAAATCTTTTTTTTAACAAAAAAGTTCCTGAGAGAAAAGTTTTTATTTTTTTAGCTAAAAAATAAAATTTTGAAAAAATTAATTTTTTATTACAAAATTGCTTTTTTGTTTCAAAAGACATTTTATCGCTCAGTGCACAGAAAAAAATGTCATCTTGACTCAAGAAAATCTTTTTCTTCAAAATTTACTTCTTGTTTCAAGTTCTTGTTTATTCTTGAACTAATTATGTCATATACTTATCCCAAGTAAATCTTTCTTTTGGTTTGGAAAGTAGCGCCAACGTTGGTGACGTGATTTTTTGGAACTAAACCGAGATTTTTTCAATAAAAAATTAAATTTAAGAAAATAACCTTATGCATGATTTTTATTTTTTGTGTTCATTTAATTAGACATTTTTGATTAATTTTTAATTTGCTGATTTCCCATTATATTACTGATTTACAGTTAAGTGTGTAGTGACGAAAATATTTGTATATACAAGTATTTGCTCGACTTATACAAAGTACACGGTTAGAAATTTGTTGCGTTAATAACTATAAGTGATATCGACAATCAGAAAAAAGATCCTTAAAGAGGAGGAAATTTCTAAAAAAAAATCTCGACTCCCGGAACTCTAGTTCCATAAACAATAATTTTTATTTAATGTTGAAAATGGGTTTCCGCGCGGCTGCTGTCCTACTCGGGCCTCGATGCACCCGTGTGTACATCAAGCAAGTTCAAAAACCAAGAGAATGATTTACTTGGATTAAGAGGTTTTTTCTTCACTTAAGTTGGTAAATCTGTTGGAACTAGGGAATATTTGCTTAAACCAAGATTGACCAATACAAGAAAAAAATTTACGTAACTCAAGAATATATTTTATCTTCAGTTGAATATACTTGGATCAAGTAAATATTACTTCACTCAAGATGAGTTTTTTTTTCTGTGTGTGAATAACTATTACAATAATTGAAATTAGATCAGGAATTACGGAAGGTTTCACGATTCCTTTAATTTTTATGGTAATTCTTAAAGAATATTTCTCGTGTAAAAATGATGAAATAAAATGACCAATGTATGAAATCATCATCTTCCGTATGCAATATAATAAAAGTAAAAACTTTGTTGAGCAGATTGTTTTCTCCACCGTAACTCTCTAACATACATATACATACCCAGTGACTATTTTATTTCATTACTAAATCTTAAGATTACGCCTACATTGTGTCATCAGCCCAGACGCCTTGTAACTCATTCTGAAATCTTCAACGTTGACTGTACTCTGACACTGATAAACTTCCTTCCTAATTCAGTAACACCACACAATAAATAATTAAACAAGCAAACAAACAAACAAAAAAAATAAGACGCTAGGTAGACATAAAAATTCTCATAATAACAAATAATAAATAATAAATAATAAAAAGCAAGAGATTATCAATTGTTGATTGTGATAGATTTCTCTAATGATTCAATAAAAATAAATGGTTGGAAGTCATACAAGATAGTACCTAGGATATAAGTAGTATGTAGTAGTATAAGTAGTAGTAGATCAGATCAACCTGCGCGCGTCGGCGAGATCTGGATAGCAATCTTCGACACGCATTGCAAGCTTATCGAGTCATGCCGGGAGAGTTAAGTCTTACGTAGCTATTCCTCCGTGGCAGATAATGCCGCATCGATAAATATTATCTCTGTTGAGTCTCTGCTCCTTTTTGCCACTGGGGATAGTTGCCACGACTGGTGCATACTTACACATTGCTAACTGTCTGTATGCTGCCTCATGTAACAACAGCAACAATAACAACAATAAGTATGACAAAAACTTAAACAGGAACAAATAGTAACTATTGTCACTTATACAATTACAAATGCTGTAATAATACCGTTCATACACTAAAAAAAAAAATTAACTTGGTTTAAGTAAAAAAATTGTTGAAGTGAGAAATTTTCCTTTCATTTTAGTGAATTTTACTTGATTAATTAATTTTTCGTCTTGAATAATTTTATTTATTTTTTTTTTTTTTAGTTGACGTTTCAAAAAAATTACACGTTGGTATTTGAATGTATGCCGTTAAATAAGCGTACTTTTATGTTTTCAAAGCATTTTTTATACTTTTTTAGATTGAGAGCAGTAGTGCTTTGTACTAAATACGTTTCAATTAAACAATTGAAATTGGACAGTATCTTGACATTAAGATTTTATATAATGTTTGGAACATCGAAATTTGAATCTTGAAAAATTGAATATTTAAATTTCCGATCTTAGTTTTTTTTTCGAACGGTGCCTGTAAAAAAATTTTGACATACAGTCCAGAGATAAAAATCCACAGACTCGGTAGAGTCTGTCGCCAAGCCCCGTTAAAATCCGTTGTAGACGGAACACCAGACTACCGAGTATGTTTAGGGGAGAGGTGGTGCAATTGTAACAAAAAATTTAATTTTCTCTATTATTTTTGTTATTTTCATGATATCAAACTAAAAACCGGTGTGAAAGTTAATTTATAGTATCTGTTATGTAACCGACTTAGTTAATGAATGAAAAATTAATATTAACTAATTAAAAAATCAATTTATTCAACTAAAGTCAGGGCCCTACTGTAAGCAGAACAATATTTTAAGGTTGCAAAATTTTATCAATTTTAGAGACCTTTTTTTTCCTTTAATAAAATACTTTATAATAATACTTTACATTACCATATTGTTTACACCAAGTAAGTTCCAAAATTGTTTCTTTAAATTTTTAAATTTACAACAAAATTTTTTTTAATTTCCGAAAATCATACAATCATATCGGTTTCTTGGATTTTTTTAATTTCCCGCTAAGAAAATTGAAAATTTTCTACTAAAGGGAAGTTATTGATTTTGGTCCGATTTTCGAAAGTCGAGTTTTCATCGGATCTCCACGTTTTGAGGTCCCAGGAAGCCATTATGACTATTTCCGCCGAGTCGTCCGGCCCTGTGGCATAATAAATTTTGTAAAAACATCACACGTGGTGTATATGAGACTACACGAGAAACTGCTATGCGCATTCATGAGCTTTATGTTGGTTTAATTTTCATCTTTGTGTGTGTGTGTGTGTGTTGGTATAATATAATAATATATAATAGTATAGTGTTGTGTGATGGCGCCAGACCAAAGAGACTACGGACCCGTGCCATTACTTTACTCACTTCATCATCACCATTTATCGTCTTCCTTCGTTGTGTTTCTCGTAATTTAATTTACAGACAATTGTCAAGTTGAGACACACCATTTATTCAACTTATCGGTAACTACAGGAGAGTTTTACGTGGGTGATTATTTATGTATGTGTGTATGTCTTTTATGTGTGGATAAACCAATATTCGATAGAATGAAAAAAATTTTTAAATATAATTATATATCATTTTGTATTATCATACAAAATTATAGTCATTAATAATCTATGGATTAACAAACATCAATGTCTATAAATAATTTTTATTTCAAAATATTACGTCTTCAATTAATTATTTTGAAATCATTGTTATTAATAGGAATTGAAATTAGCTATCATATATTTTATTTTATCTTAATCTCAATTGTTGTAGATACATTTTTTTTAGTCTATGTTTTTTATTATTTACTGTGAAGATATGAAAATTCAAACATTAAAAATTATTATCGGTCTATTTAAAATGATATTACAATTTGTCGTGAATCAATGATTGAAATTTTTATCTTAAAATTTTGATCTTCAAATTTTATAAGGGTGTTAAAACATAAATTATTTCAAAAATAAAAAAATGTAAGCTTGTTGAGAAGTGTAATAAATAAAATACTTTATTATTATGAAAAAAAAAATATTTTAAAAAACGCGAATCAATAGAAACAAATAAAACTTTATGAATGTACAATAGAAGTTGTCTAAAACTTTTTCATTACTATGCTGGTCGAAAGTACGGGGTTCCCGCTGCGATTTCACTGCAGAAAGCCTCACATTTATGCCGTGGTTGAGTCGCACATGCGCTCTATGACGGGGAGCCGAAAAAATGTATTCATGCACTGACAACGAGACATGAGGCGGCAGAAAGTCCGAAAGTCGGTCGTCGCGCTCACTCTATTACTTATGTTTATAAGCCTAACCTTACTTGTGATTGTTATGGATGTATCTGTCTTGTTATGTGTCAATGATTTGAGGTTGAGACTGAGTTAATTACAGAAAATGAATATATTTATTTTAATGAAAATTAAAGTAGCAGATATTTAATAAATTTTAGAATTTAAAAAAAAATAAATTAGTGCAAAAAAAAATTAGAAAAAAAATTGACATGTAGAAATTTTAAAAAATTAAAAATGCAATTTTTTAAAAACCATTTTTTTTCTATTTATTTGATAAAAAAAATTAAGAAATGATTAAGTGACTACTAACTTTGTCATTTTATTTTAATGAAATAAGACTTGTTAAATATTTAAATTACAAAAAAAAAAAAAACGAGAAATATTTTTTATTCTGATCGATATTCTCAAATAAATAAATCTATTGGTGAACAAATAATTATTTGAAAAAATATACAACCAGATTTTTTTCTTAATTTTTTTTTCTCGATATGCATTTTACGATTATTATTTCTTTTTTCTGTTTTTTGTTAAAATCAGAGTTAATTTATGATACATTTATAACGTTAAATTTATTCAGTTAAATTACGATCTTTTTTCAAAAGAAAGTAATAATACGATAAATTATATATTAAAATCTTTATTGACAGGTGTATTTGATGCCTGCCCCCCCGACCAGCAGCACTCGCTTCGCTCGTGCCGCAAATGTCGGGGGCAGGCATCAATTTTTTTCAACGCAATTTTTAACGTACTTTCGACCGCATAGTAAGAAAACTAGTATACACTACATGGGCAGAAATTTGAGAGCCCTGAACTGCGTGCCATGATGCCCTCGGCTTCGCCTCGGGCATATGGCGCGCAGTGCAGGAATCTCAAACTTTCTGCCCTTGTAGTGTAATATACTATTTTGTCGTACGGTTTCTCAAAAACGAACCAACCGATTGAATTCTGCGACATGTCATTCGAAAGGGTTTATCAAAACTTAGATCTGATTAGATTTGAAAGTTAATCCATCGAGCCATTTCGAAGAAATTAAAAAAAAAACTCAAAAAAAAAATTAAAATTTTTATGTTTTTTTAAAATAACTTTAAAGCGTACGGAAAAATCATAATAAAACCATGTATACATTTTTTGTGCTTAAAAAACTGCGTCGAATGCTTCTGTGAAAATGAAAATCGAACGACGCATTCAAAAGTTGTAGCTGTTTGAAAATTCACAAAATTTTGTTTTTTGGTGATTTTTTAAGATATCTTCGAGATTTCTTAACCAATCAATACAAACCTGTACATTTTCTTTTTGTGATTTAAAAACTGCGTCAAGTGCTTTTTTAAGTGCTTGCCGGATACCTAACGCTCTACGCCGTACGACCGATAGGTGGTTTAACATCTTATGATTCTTATAAGCTAATCCTATGTGGTGATTGAGCATTACGGCTTATTATTTATTATTTACATTATTTGTGTTATTTTATGCTGTTTATTGATGGAAAAGTTTAACATATACTCATTCAAATATATTGATTTCGAAATGATCGTTTGAGCATAATATTAAAATTTATAAAAAAGAAATTATGCCCCGAATTTATTATTGCAAATAAACAACCATAAACTAAAAATTAGTAAAAATAAATATGAAGGACATCGTTGTTTTTTTATACATCAGTCTCATTTTTGTAAAACTGAAAAGTATTATTTTTAAAATTGGAAAACAGTGAAGTAGAATTACAATTCGTGTAATATAAATAAAATTTTCTGGTAACATTACATTGCACTGTGTAATTTTACAATGAAAATTTTACAGATCACAAATAATGTTTGCAAAATTAAAAAGCTTTTTCTTAAAAATTGACGAACAGTTCTGTAATATTACAATGCGTGTTAGGTTTATACAAGAAGATTGTAAAATTACAATACATCTTAGTAGATTTCCTGACAGGTGTTGGAAAATTACATGAATTGTATTTTATTTCGCATTGCTATACACTGATTTGTAATTTTACATATCATTTGTTTTGTAATATGATTGTAATTTTACAAAAATTTTTAACAGTGCAAGAAAAAATTTTTTTCTTAATAATCTTGTGAACATCGGCTTGGCGCGATTTTTTACAGTCAAACTGTTTTTGTTCGGATTATGGTTAATATATATTCCCATACATTGTTTTTCGACTAAAGGTAGTATTTATAACCTCCGATAGATGGTGTATGATCGCTACATTATCTCCTTACAAGTGAGTTGTCGGGAAAATTGCCCATTTGCAGCTTTACGATGTAAATTACTACGATAGTATTATTATAAATTATATCAAACTCATATTACGATGTACCGTAATTTAAAAATAAATTTTGTTGCAATAAAAAAGTAATTTTTTTCATTCAAACTATTCAGTAATATTTATTTTATAAAAATTTTTTGAATTAAAAATAGTAAGTTTATTATTTAAAAAAAAAAAATTCAATTGTTTTTAATTTGTGAGATAAGTTAAGTGAAATTTTGATTTGAAATAAGTGACAAATTTTTATTTTGAATGCATTAATTATTTATTATAGACCAAAAAATTTGGAGTACATTTCAAACAGTAGCCGTTAATCGAATTAATTACGTTTAGGCTCAGTGACTTGTCTTACAAAATTGTTGATACTCTCAATGATTTCAGAGGGATTGGGAATATCTTTTGCATGCAATTGAACAGCTTTACATATATCGTCACCGGCTGCAGCTATCAGTTGATTGAAATCAGAGGTAACACCCGATAAGTTAGCTTGTGTTTCAGCGTTTTTAACGTCACCGACTACTTTATTGTACTTGTTTTTTGTTGTCTCACTAAATATGTGATCGTGTTTTTTGAAAAAATCTTTCATTTTTTCTACATCCATTGTGGATTGTACTTGTTCTCCTACAGCACTAAACAATAATTTCAAGTCATCGATGACTTTCTTGATTGGTTCGCCAGGAATCGCGTTTGCTGGTGGAGCCTCGTTTCGCTGATGTGGAGTCCCAGTTACTGCCTGGAATAAAAAAAAAATTAAATATATATTTTGCAAAATACTTCATGAATATTTCAAATTTTTCAATGGATGATTTTGATCGGAAATGTAATAAAAAAGTTTTGGAAATCTGAAAGTGCATGACTCATAATGCCGATTTAATTTTTAATAAAAATATATTTAATTGTTAATTAATAAAGTAAAATAAAAAAGTAGAAAACATATTATTACAGTCAATTATTGTCAATTACGGAAGAGACTATTTTGATTATTTCACGGATTTTTCTTATTCAAATCAACTTCAGACAAATCAAAAGGATATCTCGATTCACGAAAATCTATATCTTCACCCAAGAAATTTTTTTAATGTAGCCAAGAAATATTCTTGAATTAAAGTAAAATAATTTCTTGAGTTTAACAATTTTAAATTGAGAAAAATATTTTAAATAGAATAAATATTTATTCTTCATACAAAATAAAAACCTCTTAAGTGAAAAATAAAAAAGTTTGGAAAATTCAAAAGTGCACGCCTCATAATCTCATTTTTCATAATATAATTGATTAAAATAAATGATAAAACGCAAAATAATAAAAAACAAATAACTCTGCTATGGTTAGTGGCGCCATAACTCTGAGGTGAGGAAAAAAAATATTATAATAAAATGTATAGATAGATATACAATAAAATCCACAGTCATAAATTAGTTTTTTATCAATAATAATTTAACGACAGTGAATTGAACGCTCATATTAATTAAGAAAATCCGTCGTGTGTTACTTTAGATAATAAAAAAAAAAATTATTCCGGTACGATCATTTTTTCGACCAATTTCCCTGCCACATACACCCATCCATACACAGACGTCCAGAAAAGATTATGTTTAATGTTATTATTTACTATCTTAAACAAAAAAGGTGTTATTGAAATAAATTGTATGTGCCTGACAAATTATTTGACTTGATATAAGTGTACTCATATTAATCTGTAATCTGTAAATGCGATATAAATAACAAAAAATCAATTTCAGTTTCGAGAAAACTGCTTTTTTTGAAATGCCGAGAGTAGAGCACAACCTCAAAGCTTCGCTTATGAGGCGTGCAATTTACTTAATCCTAGAATTTTCATACTCCTATCAAAAATTTTATTTTTTTGCCCAAAGGTTTATACTCTTATGACAAGAATTTACTTTCTTACACCAAGAAAGTTTTCTTAACTCGAGACCTCACCACTCAGAGCCTACACAGAAAGAAAAATTTCTTGACGAGAACAAAATTCTTGGTTCAAGAAAATTTTCGGGTGTCTGAAGGAAGACCGAAGTTGTGTTGGCCGAAGTAAAAATTTTTCTTGAAATTCTATTCTTGGTGGAAGTAATTTTTTCTTCTACTTGAAAATGTACTTGAATCAAGTAAATAATTTTGAAGAATTTCGTCTGCTTGATTTGAGTCGAAAAATTTATAAACTAAGAAATTTTTCTTGACTTAAGTAAATCTTACTTAATTCAAGAATTTTTCATCTTGATTCGAGACAATGAAATTCTTCAAAATTATTTTCTTGGCTCAAGAATTTTCATCTTGATTCAAGTTAAATTTTTAACTTCCCGCTAAAAATCTCAGATTTTCAAAAATCGAGAAGTTATTGTTTTCACCCCGTTTTGCAAAAATCGAGTTTCCATCAGATCTCGACGTTTTAAGGTCACAGGAAGCTTCCCTGACTATCCCCGCGAGGTTGTCACTATGTCTGTATGTATGTATGTATGTGTGTGGGTGTGTGTGTGTGTGTGTGTGTGTGTGTGTGTGTGTGTGTGTGTGTGTGTGTGTGTGTATAAGTGTGTGAATCGCTTATAACTTTTGAACGGTGAACCGATTTCATCGCGGTTGGTGCCATTCGAAAGGGCTTCGCCAAACTTAGATTTCCTGAGAATTTGAACCGATTCGGACCGATAGATTTTGAGAAATTTTGAAAAATCTCAAAAAAAATAAGAAAAAAATCATTTTTAAAAGTGGTTTTTTTGGAATATCTTTTAAACGGCTCGATCGATCAACTTCAAAAACTAATCCGCCCTTAAGCTTGAAAAACCACGCCGATCGGCGCTAATCCGGTCAAAATCGGTTGATTCGTTCGAGAGATAGCGTGAACGAAAGAAAACCGAAAAAAACCGAAAAGAGTGTTTTTTTCACATAACTTCGTCATTTCTTCTCGGATCGTTTTTGATGATATAGAATAATTTCAGAGCTTAAAAAACCGCGTCGATCGCCGCCAAAAACGTGGAAATCGGTTGATTAGTTCGAGAGATATCCTCGACGAAATATTTGGAAATAAGGATTTTTTCAACATAACTCCGACATTTTTTGGAAAAGTTTGGAAAATCCAAAAGTGCACGACTCATAATGCTCATTTAATTATAAAATAAAAAAAAAGTAATTATATAATTGATCCATTTATATGCATTTAATAATAACATAAGTCGTTCAAAATTAGTTGCCGAAAAAACAGCTGTACTAGGAAGGTACTGCACAAGCGCCTCTGGTGGAATAAATGTACATAATATCTAAAAAAAAAAAAAAAAAAAAAAAAAACAATAATTGCAATGTTGGAAACATCACGTATTAAACGGTAAGAATAACAAAATTATCGACAGCCACAACCATTTCTAAAAAAAAAATAACAATCAATGCCAACAAATTGACCAATTAAGCCGTCAGAAAAATATATATGAAACTTATTGTTATTATTTGATAATGCAAGAATACTGTTAATTGAATACAAAATAATCAGAATAGTATAGTTTATTTCTATAACTTTATTATTTCGATTTCCTATTGGTTGTTGAAGTCCTACGATAAATTATTTGGATGCAATACTATTTGCCACGTAGAAGTTGTTTTGCTGAAAATCAAAAAAAAAAAAAACAAAAAACGTGATCGTCGACGTGTCACTAAAAAATTGGTAACTGCAGATTCTTTCGGCTGCTTATAAAAAGACCGTCGTTGAGTGAACAATTCAGTTTCTTCGAACCAAGTATTTGAAGACGTCATAAGTCATAACAATGAATACTTTCTTGTTTTGTTTTGTTCTCGCTGTTGGCTTAGCGGGCCAGGTAAGTTTTTCACTACACGCTTTTATTTGCAAGAAATTTTAATAAAAATTTTTGTACAAATCGTAAAAAATTACTAGAAGTATCATAAAGGACAATTAATTTTAATTTTAGCTAGAGAACGCCCTATTCGTAACTCTCGAAATACTTTATTTGACTGAAGATGATTTAATTTTATTAAGTCAAGAAAAACTTTCTTGAGACAAGAAAATTTAAGCTTTAGATATATTGAAAAAAAAATCCGATACGCCGAAGCCGAGACTCGGTATCAGGAGTTTTGATCCCCCGACAAAATATCCCCGGACAAAATATGGTTTTTCTGAAATAATAATTATAAATTATTGAAATTTATTATAATTATTAAATTATAAATTTATAATAATTTATAATTATTATTTCAGAAAAACCATATTTTGTCCGGGGATATTTTGTCGGGGGATCAAAACTCCTGATACCGAGTCTCGGCTTCGGCGTATCGGATTTTTTTTTCAATATATCTAAAGCTTAAATTTTCTTGTCTCAAGAAAGTTTTTCTTGACTTAATAAAATTAAATCATCTTCAGTCAAATAAAGTATTTCGAGAGTTACGAATAGGGCGTTCTCTAGCTAAAATTAAAATTAATTGTCCTTTATGATACTTCTAGTAATTTTTTACGATTTGTACAAAAATTTTTATTAAAATTTCTTGCAAATAAAAGCGTGTAGTGAAAAACTTACCTGGCCCGCTAAGCCAACAGCGAGAACAAAACAAAACAAGAAAGTATTCATTGTTATGACTTATGACGTCTTCAAATACTTGGTTCGAAGAAACTGAATTGTTCACTCAACGACGGTCTTTTTATAAGCAGCCGAAAGAATCTGCAGTTACCAATTTTTTAGTGACACGTCGACGATCACGTTTTTTGTTTTTTTTTTTTTTGATTTTCAGCAAAACAACTTCTACGTGGCAAATAGTATTGCATCCAAATAATTTATCGTAGGACTTCAACAACCAATAGGAAATCGAAATAATAAAGTTATAGAAATAAACTATACTATTCTGATTATTTTGTATTCAATTAACAGTATTCTTGCATTATCAAATAATAACAATAAGTTTCATATATATTTTTCTGACGGCTTAATTGGTCAATTTGTTGGCATTGATTGTTATTTTTTTTTTAGAAATGGTTGTGGCTGTCGATAATTTTGTTATTCTTACCGTTTAATACGTGATGTTTCCAACATTGCAATTATTGTTTTTTTTTTAACAATGAATACTTTCTTGTTTTGTTTTGTTCTCGCTGTTGGCTTAGCGGGCCAGGTAAGTTTTTCACTACACGCTTTTATTTGCAAGAAATTTTAATAAAAATTTTTGTACAAATCGTAAAAAATTACTAGAAGTATCATAAAGGACAATTAATTTTAATTTTAGCTAGAGAACGCCCTATTCGTAACTCTCGAAATACTTTATTTGACTGAAGATGATTTAATTTTATTAAGTCAAGAAAAACTTTCTTGAGACAAGAAAATTTAAGCTTTAGATATATTGAAAAAAAAATCCGATACGCCGAAGCCGAGACTCGGTATCAGGAGTTTTGATCCCCCGACAAAATATCCCCGGACAAAATATGGTTTTTCTGAAATAATAATTATAAATTATTGAAATTTATTATAATTATTAAATTATAAATTTATAATAATTTATAATTATTATTTCAGAAAAACCATATTTTGTCCGGGGATATTTTGTCGGGGGATCAAAACTCCTGATACCGAGTCTCGGCTTCGGCGTATCGGATTTTTTTTTCAATATATCTAAAGCTTAAATTTTCTTGTCTCAAGAAAGTTTTTCTTGACTTAATAAAATTAAATCATCTTCAGTCAAATAAAGTATTTCGAGAGTTACGAATAGGGCGTTCTCTAGCTAAAATTAAAATTAATTGTCCTTTATGATACTTCTAGTAATTTTTTACGATTTGTACAAAAATTTTTATTAAAATTTCTTGCAAATAAAAGCGTGTAGTGAAAAACTTACCTGGCCCGCTAAGCCAACAGCGAGAACAAAACAAAACAAGAAAGTATTCATTGTTATGACTTATGACGTCTTCAAATACTTGGTTCGAAGAAACTGAATTGTTCACTCAACGACGGTCTTTTTATAAGCAGCCGAAAGAATCTGCAGTTACCAATTTTTTAGTGACACGTCGACGATCACGTTTTTTGTTTTTTTTTTTTTTGATTTTCAGCAAAACAACTTCTACGTGGCAAATAGTATTGCATCCAAATAATTTATCGTAGGACTTCAACAACCAATAGGAAATCGAAATAATAAAGTTATAGAAATAAACTATACTATTCTGATTATTTTGTATTCAATTAACAGTATTCTTGCATTATCAAATAATAACAATAAGTTTCATATATATTTTTCTGACGGCTTAATTGGTCAATTTGTTGGCATTGATTGTTATTTTTTTTTTAGAAATGGTTGTGGCTGTCGATAATTTTGTTATTCTTACCGTTTAATACGTGATGTTTCCAACATTGCAATTATTGTTTTTTTTTTTTTTTTTTTTTTTTTTTTTTAATAAAGAATGCGAAGGTAAAAATACAGCAATTAAAGACAAAAACAAAATTTGTATCTCTTTGATTTTATTTATCACTAGAATGTGGTTTTTTAAATCGTAAAACTATTTTTGTCTACTGTATTAAGAAATTTTGTTAAAAAATTTTTTTGAAGTAAATATTATTTTTGAAAAATAATATTGCGTCAATAATAAATTTAAGTTAAATTTTTAATTCAAAAGAATGTTTTCAAAAATTTTTTTGTTTTATTTATAACATTTTGCCATATATAAAAAATATTAGTGTGGGAAATTTGTAATCAAGATTATTTAATTTAAAAGCAGTTTGTTTTTTGACTGAATTAAATTTTTTTAATGAAGTAATTTTCTATAATTTTTGCGTTTTAGTACAGGAGGTATGCAAAATTAAGGGTAAAATAAAGTTAAATGAAAATTTCGTTGATTTTGATTTATTTTAATAAATTTAATATCTTAAAGTTAATTTTATAATGTCAATTGATGGAGATAACCAATTAATACAATTAATCATATCATATCTTTTTGGAGATTATAAAATTAACGACTGTATATCTTCAGTTCAAAGAATTTCAGATAAACGATATTATTATCAGATAATCATATTTACAATATTGACGATGTTTTTAAATTTTTGAGAAAATAAAATTAATCAGCTCTTATTAATATCAGCAATTGCAAATTTTATCTTACGGTTAGTAGATACTTTAATTAAGATTTTTATTTCATAACTTAAGTAGTATTTTATTCCTATCGTGTTAAATTAAAAAAACTACAATAATTAGATGATAACTTTTAGTATTTAATTCTCTCCGTGAAGCAAAAAAATGATAAGCATAAGATAGAAATCATAAAAAGGGCAAATTTATTCAATTTTAATTAATTTTTATAAAACAATTTTTTAGTCATCTGATTTGATGATAGCAATTGATGATAGTCTCAATAAATTCCAGATTGCTAATCTAAGAACCCCGTAAAGATAGTCACTGTGAATTCACACGCTAACTTAACGTAATAATATCCTGTTAATTGACCTGGCAGATTGGCTGCACTTGTATTGCCTTTTTTCGCAATCCACCTGCATCAAACTTGAACAGTTAGTGATAACCGCATCTAGATTAAATAATTCCTTCTGACCCGAAGATTCCTTCTCATGGCTGGGATCATTAAGTACAATTGTTAATGTTTACATTTAAATAGAATATATTCATAAATATGTGGGTGTTGAAAGCGAAAAAAAGAGAGAGTTATAAATATTGTAGATCTAACCATCAAGATGAGAGCTCTTTTATTCTTCGTCCATACGATCTATCGATCTATCACGAATGTTTTCCTCTCGATTGCATAACCAAACACAAAAGAAATAAAATATACACACATAGATCAATATATATGTGTATACATAGTCAGTGGACTTTTACGCACTATACATGGCGATTCACGACTCCGGCGATGCTCGTTACCCACGAGAAATCTTACGATTAGCAGACAAAAGTCTCTTTGTCTGACATTGTACATTATTCAACCAACAATGCGGTATAATACACTTTTAATCTTGGAAGTTTTATACTTTTTAATTCTAGATTTTTTTATCCCTTTAACAATTATCGAAATATTTTTTAACTAATTTCGAAAAAGATTTTTGTTAGAACAATATATACGAATTGTGAGAAGAAATGGACATGTTAGCATAGGATTAACAAATAATATGTTATGATAATAAAGTCTAGGTTATAATAAGTAATTTATATGTTATAGCAACAAAACAGTTTTTTTATTATAACAGAATCTTAGTTAATACAACAAAATATTTTAGTTTAATGAACAAATTGATTTGTTGAAACAACAAAATTGTTATGTTATTAGGATAACAACAAATTTTTTGTTGGTTCAATATAAACCATTCAGTTGGTATAACAAATGTTGTTGAAATAACTAAATTATTTTGTTCAAATAACTAATCATTTTGTAAGCCAAATTTTCAAAAAAATCTAGCATGATCAAGTGGCGCCATAGTTTTCACGTGACAAATAACAAAAGTTCGTTTGGCTTTATACGGTTGTATCGTAGTGAATTTTAATAAAAATTCAATTAAAAAACAAATACGTAAGCTAGGCCTCTGATATGAAATATGGACCCAGTTAATCGAATTCTTAAACTAATAAAAAAGGTCCGATCTTGAAATATCAATTTGTTCGGGAGTAATCGTTGGTACATCCAAAATGGGGTGATATCCGGACGTCCACGTAAAATTTTTTTCAAAACGTTTTTTTTTTTTTAAATAGCAACATGAAATGATTTTAGAAAGTAAACGATGGTTTAATTTAAGTGTTTTTTCGGTGTACATCTACTTATTTCATGGTATAAGTGTAATATGGTTGTGATAGAGGCATTTAAAGATCACAAAATTGCTTGACCTTGACGAGTCGAGTATAAAGCACAACCTCACGCGCTTCGCGCTATGAGGCGTGCAAAAACATTTTTTCTTGCTCTCCTACCCGAAAGTACGCTCTTTCTGGACGCAGTTTACTCCAAAAAGAGCAAAATTTGTGGCTTGTTTTGGCGCATGCACAGAACCTCGCTTCTTTTCATATTTTCATGGCGTGAGTTTCAACTGTCTATCAGTCACAACATCACAACATCGTCTGTATGTAACATGTCAGCGCATAAACTAACCAGAAAGTGTCAAAAAAATAAAAAATAATTTATAACTAGATTATTATTAATGAACTATTTAATAATAACACTACATAAATGATTCATATAAAAAGTTTATATAAAATAAAATATAATAGTTTTGTGGACTTTATTTGCTTTCTTTTATATTTTGACAGCTAGTCAAGCAATGTTTATAAAATAATAGGTACATGTACTCTACAAGCTTCTAATCATTTAATTTCAATCAATCTTAGCCGTCAATTATTAACTAAAAATTAATTTTTAATCAACTCAAAAAAATAAATTCTGTTATTAGAACGAGTTTAAATATTTGTGCCAAGTTCTGTGCATTTCATCACTCTAAATTAGAACAGTTGTTAGTAAACTTTAGAATAACTTATTTTTTTTTTTTTAATTTATTAGTTTTTACTTTTTTTTTGTCCGCCCCGACCAGCAAAGCCTCGGCTTCACCTCGGCTTCGCCTCGGTTTTGCAAAACCCCTTCCCCGGAGTTGCGTATTTTCGGGTGGAGAGCAAGAAAAATAGTATACAACCCACGACCAGAAATTTGGATGCCTCGGCCATCATATCCTATACGCCAGGAAATCCAACTTTCTAGCCTAGGGTTGTAATATACTATATGTACATATCAGGTCTCATATAGATGCATAATATTCTGTCCGAAAATTTTTTCATGGACATGATTCGTTTGATATTTACAGAATGTAATCTTTTGGTGTAAGAATTTAAGTATGAAAAATTCTTATTTATCTAATAGTGAGGTTTAAAAATTTGTCCGGTAAAGTATAATTTAAACCTCACTATTAGATAAATAAGGACCTTAACTATTAGAAAAAAATTGAATTTACTCATAATCTAATATTTTTTATTTTACATTGGCGGCGAAAGGACCTCCTTAAAAAAACTTATAAGTTCTTTGTTAGTAGTGATGATTATGAGAATGATGATAATTATAATTATGTAAGCTTGAAGGGTTTTGATGACTTGTTCCATGATAATGACCACTGTCTTGTGATGGTTTACACTTAGTTCCACTGATTAGATCTTCAACATAAGCAGCTTGTATGCGATAGTTAACTTCTTGGGCATTCAAGGTGCCCGTCATAAATTTTTGGAAGCGTCCTGTGATCACCCAAATTTGTTCTCGCTTGCTACCTACAGTTACAAGCTGGAAGTAACAAACACAAGTTTTGTTAATTTTTTTTTTCGTATATATAAAGACCAGATTAAATGAATAATATACCTTCAAGCCCGAAATAAATTGTAGTGTTTTATTGTTAACAACCGCGTAATCAATGTTAGGTCCGCCGAACTCCGGGTAGCTTTTACTGTTCCAACAACCAATAGCTGTATCTCCCATTAAGCCGTAGAATAAAATTCCGTCGTTTGTCATAGCTTGAGGACCAGATTGAGAAGAGCGGTGTTGCCTGAAGGATTGAAATGCGGATGCAGCATTGTCTGGGTGGTTCAAAAATAAGTCTGAGTTTCTGAAAAACAAAAAAAAATTATGAGACAAAAATGATAAGACTATTGCATGCCATTAGCGTGAACTTTAATGGTTGTGTTTTATTGTAGACTTAAAATTTTACGTAAAACCTCTTTGGAAAAAAAAAAAAAAAAAAACACACACACACACACACATAAGGCGACTGCTTGGCCGAGCGGTTTAAGTCTTAGTTAAACTGCCGCACAGCAGTCGCTCAGGCGTGGGTTCGAGCCCTGGCAATTTTTCTTCTTCTTCTGCGATTTCCGGGGCTTGCTCCCTTGCCGACTGTACCTTGACCAGGTTTCTGTGGTTTTTCCTCGGTCATTGTGCCCCTAAAAAATAAGCGGGGCACAGGCAAATGCGGGTACAGACTGTAAGCCGGCCACAGCCGCAAAAACGGAGGGTCCTGTTACAGGACTATATAGGAGGAATAGCTACAGGAGTAGCTTGGAGGGGGCCTGGTACTGCGAAGTAATGCTAACGCGGTCTCGCAGTACCAGGTACAAGAGAGGGGAGGGTTTTAGTGGTTAAGAATCTCACACTACCGGCAACCAACATCTAGCCGGTGTCTTATGAAGATTTCCCTCCTCTCGCCCAAAAAAAAAAAAAAAAAAAACACACACACACACACACACACACATACATACATACAGACGTACGGACATCATCGTAAAAATAGTCAGGAAAGCTTCTTAGGGCTTCCAAACGTCGAGATCTGTTGAAACCTCGATTTTTGCAAAACGGGGTAAAAACAATAACTTCCCGATTTCTCGAAAATCATTGATTTTCTTAGCGGGAAGTTAAAAATTAGTTTACTTTAGTTACCATTCGTAGTACAGTATAACAATCTTTTCCATTTTACAGCAAATTTTACCTTTAAAGCACCAAATTATTAATATTTTCTTTTTTAAGTAAACGAATGATACCATATGGGTTTTTCTTTCATAAGCTTATTTTCCACGAACAAACCTTTAATTTGCCTAGACATATTACAACTTTCTACCACCCTATTCATATTGATAAATATTTTATATACCTGATAATAGACGTAGGCACATAACTCTCAACAACGCTAGCCAGCGAATGGAAGTACAACATTCTATCTTTATTTACTGTCAATGGTCCTAAAGCTAATCCAAAAATTCCGTCCATAAGATCAAAACTTTCGCCAGCAATAGTAAAATGTCCGTGCTCAGGATACGGATAAAAAAGATTGTTTTGAATGTTCCATGAGTTTTGGTTTTTGAAATCGTAAACAATCAACTGGAACTCGCTGACATCTGCGATGTAAACGAATGTGTCCGAACATTGTCCTCGGATGTCGATTACTGGTGTAATTAACAACGATTCAGGCTTTAATAAACTCTCTGGAAATTGGTAACGTGAAATCAGTCTATCGGTTGACAGGTCAAAGATGAATAGTTGAGGTGGGCATTTTCGCTCGTCCTGTAGTTTGCCAGTATCCAACACCCATAGTCTACCGCACTCGTCAATCTGAAAAGATAATTAGAGTTTGTTATTGTGGAGGACAAGACAATCTTGGAACAGGAACAAGATTATGTTTTGAAATTCAATATTTACCTTGATACGGTACACACTTGTGATGTGGTTACAGTATCCTAATTGATTCATTTCCCAATTAGGATATGGAGCTATCAAAGGACTGCCATCTGATGAAGTCAAATTAGAGACGTACCCAAGAGTTACTGGTACTCCTTCTTGGAAACGGGGAATTGTTACGAATACTCGAGACCCGAACGGACCTATTGTAATAATAAGAATAAAAAACAATTTCTTTTAGACTTTTTTTAGTTAGTATTTTGTATAAAAAATTGATCAGGTTTGAGATAGGTGATATGAAAAAGTTTGTTCAATTTTTAAAAACGACCATTAAATAAAAAAAATTAAGAAAACGGTTGACCCTGAAGGCCATCCCTGCAACTTCCCGCTAATTCCATTCTTAATAAGCGCTCAAAATTACACTTATTACGTTTTTGAACTCTTCGAGCTCAAAAATCTGATAGCAGTTTAATAAAACATTATTTTTTTAATTTTCAAACCGCAATAACTTTAGAATCAATGAACTGATTTTCACGCGGTTGGCGGAGTTCGACGCAGTTTTTTAGGCCAGTTTTTCTTAGCGGGAAGTTAAAAATAATCTATTAGATATATCTAAGAGAGATACATCTGAATTCTTTTATAGTTTAAAGTGTCAAAAATCGAAATTTTGCGGTTTAATTGTTGTTGACAAAATTTTAATTCTTTAATTTGAAAATTAAAATCAGAGAGAGATTAAAAGAACGAAACTTTTTTTCCCTCTTTTGTGAAGTATTACGAAGCTGTACTTCATGACACAAACTTCAAAAGTCGGTATAATTATTCCATCTATTAATTACTTTATATTATTCTATACTGAAAACCGATATTCAAGCGAATTCATTTAACATCAGACAATAACACGATAATCTTTTTACATAAATAATGAAGAAATTGGAAGTTTCAAAGTATATCAATCTTTACTAGATGATAAAATTGATAACATAAATATATAACACTATACCATTATACCTTTATTGCTGTAATTATTAGCAAACATCAAAAATTTTAATATCAAATTTACTAAACGCTTTAATAGTGGTTAAGAGCTTTGAAGAAATAACCGGCAGTCTAGATAAAAACATAAAACGGTTTCTATTATTAAAATAGAATGAATTATATAAATAATAGTCGTATATTTCAAAATAGTTATTGAAATTGTTGCAACGTGAGAATAAAATTATTAAGCATCTGATGAGAGATATATCAACACCGTGTTCGATTATGCTTTTATCTAGAAGTTATAACTTTTGAAATAACTATTCTCAGAGGGACAAAAAGTAGGTCCGTGCGACGCCTGGCGGCTATTACCGAACTAAACCTTCTGTTTTTAACTTCCCGCTAAGAATCTCAGATTTTCAAAAATCGGGAAGTTATTGTTTTCACCCCGTTTTACAAAAATCGAGTTTTCATCAGATCTCGACGTTTGAAGGTCACAGGAAGCTTCCCTGACTATTTTTACGATGATGTCCGTACGTCTGTGTGTGTGTGTGTGTGTGTGTGTGTGTGTGTGTGTGTGTGTGTGTGTGT